TTCGTAGCCTTCAGTAGTATGCTCCTGTAAGCCCTTATAAGAAAGAGACTTATAACGTTATGTTTTCCGGTGAGTATGTCTTTAGTGGGCTTGCTAATCCCATGCCCACCCTTCCCACTTTACCGGGTTTGCTACTGGCTAATCAACATCCAACGCCAATCACCATCAACGGGAGGGATTTGAAAGAGGTTACACCATTCACTTATTTAGGAAGCATTGTCTCAACTACAGGAGGAACGGACGAGGATGTCAAATCGAGGATCGGTAAGGCGAAAAACACATCCATCAAACTGAAACCAATCTGGAAATCTTCCACTGTCACTCAGCCTGCATCAACAACGAAATTCGGATTTTCAATACAAACGTCAAGTCACTTCTTCTATACGGATCAGAAACTTGGCGGGTCACAAAGAATATTTCCAGCAGCCTGTTGCAGACGTTTATCAACAGCTGTCTTCGCTCTATACTGAAGATCAGATGGCCGGAAAGAATCACCAACAAGAAACTATGGGAACAAACAAAACAAGAACAAAACAATCGCCCAACAAATATGCAGGAGAAAGTGGAGATGGATTGGACACTCGCTGAGGAAGCTGCTGGGTGACATCGTGCATCAGGCCATAGCTCGAGTGGAACCCGAAAGGGAATCGGTGAGTGGGACGTCCAAGGGTGACATGGAGGAGATCGTGTGAAGAGGAGTTGAAACAGTATGGACTAACATGGATGCAGGTAAAATGTATAACAGAAGACAGAAGCAAGTGGAGGCGTGTAGTTAAAGCCCTATGTTCCACTAGGAACCCAATGGAACAATAATAATAATAATCAAGGTGAAGAAGTGCGTCAGGCAAAGAGCGAACCCTGAACCGCGTGCATGGTTGACGAGTATTCTACTGCTGAGGCACTGGCTTACTACAGCAAGCATTAATCAGGTAGAAAGTTATATAGAACCAAGTAAGTTAATTGAATGACGCAGTATAACTGACAGGAATGAGTTGTTGTCTGTTTGTTCTTGTTTCTTCTACCAAAATCTTGGCTGACTGAAATCTTGTTCTTATCACTTTTTCATTTGCATTTCATCATACAACTTCTTTTGGGTTGACTATACCACGATTTGATCAGATCATTTCACTTACCAAACAGAAAATAATTATACAACAACAACAACGAGTGCTTCCAAATTCTCGGCACCGAAGTCGAGTGGACACCATTAAAATAAGATCCATTCAGTAAAGAAACTCTTGAAAAATAAACAGAATTAGGAAGCTTTCCAGGTAAATTTAGTCGAAACACTTACTGAACAGTGAGGAAAAAGGAATCAAATTCATTAATGGATCGTTAATGTTTATAATTTATAATGAAAATCTCACGGGAGGTCATTTTTAGAAAAACTACGTCGAAAGCATTTCTTGGCAGTGACAAGGAATCTGTACTACTACAAAAAGAGATATACAAACAAGCCATATTTCTCTACTGGCATTTATGAACACTTCCTCAGTGAATCTTTATGAATTAGGCTTTATTTTCTTTATGATATAGCATTCAGACAATCGATTGCTGGTGTTTTTATATACTGATAAGAGGTGATTAATACGAAGAATGTTCTAAAGACTCTTAATCTGATATAAGTATAAAACTTGGGCACTGTGGTAGAGTATAACTCCATAATGGATAAGATTTTATTTTGATAAATCACACAGTGTTGTACAGTTATATTAACTGATGACGTTTCGAGCACAAACTATTGCTCATAATCACATCATAATCATATCAACTTGATATGATTATGAGCAATAGTTTGTGCTCGAAACGTCATCAGTTAATATAACTGTACAACGCTGTGTGATTTATCAAAATAAAATCTTAACCATTATGGAGTTAGACTCTTAATCTGCGTTTATGCCTTTTGGTTATGATTGTTCTTACCATCATACAGGTTTTTAAACAATGAATCGTTTGTTGCCCCGATAAAATAGAAGACAAGAAAACAACAAAATGTGCGCACCAACAATTTTTTACTACTATGTGAAAACAGTTTCAAAATGACATTCAGACATAATGTGTTAAATACTGGTCAAATGTGAAGGTGATATTTACGATAGAGATATTTTAACCAATCCGTATCTCTGGTATGTTAACGTCCATAAAGTGAATACGGATAAGAAAAGCGATAACCGAGACAGGCGCATAGGAGTGTGAGACAGACAGCCTTAGTAAAAAGTAAAGTAGTACGATATACTGGTAAAACAAGTAAGGCTTAATTGGTCTGTTCAGAATAATTTTACCAAAATCATAAATACACTTTTTATTGATCTGTAAGTTTTATATGTATATTTTTAATATATCATTCCAGAGAGGTCAACAGGTATGGGCTTTCTTATTTTATATTCTGGGACGATTAAATTTGAAGATCGGGTTGTTCCTTAAAATAAGTGGTAATCGGAATTATTTCTTTCCAGCTGATCGGTTACAGGATTTCGTCATGAGCTGACATCAGTTAGAGAACCACTGGAAAACCAGTGCTGCAGTACTGGATAGCTGTTTCACCCTAGTTTGGGGCCTTTCAGCAGCACGCATCCACCAGGGTTCGAACCCAGGGCCTTCTGGTTGCAAGGCTAGCTAGCTCGTAGACCATTAAACTACTGGGACCCGATCCAATGGCCAGCCCATGAATTCCAGCTTCTACGAATTCACGACATAGCGTGGCCACCAGCCGATGTCTTTGGCGAGTATTTATCATCACGTTCGACCTGCCGTACCATACTGGTCTTGACTCCCCACTAGAACTCCAGGTAACTACCTACCTGAATAGGGCCAGTCGGTAGTGAACATTTTGAGGTACTGATTTGTAGGGATTTGACTGACTGGTTACAGCTGATTGTTTGCCATTTCGTTTACACATTAGGCCTAATTGATATTTGATTTATAACGACAAAGTGTCTGTATGTCTGTTTGGTTTTGACACTCTCACACACTGACTACTCAAAATTCATTCATGTAAAATTAATGCCGTATGAGTTACACTGTCTCTTTTTATCTACGTTCAATAACCTAAAGTGAGGCCTAAAATTGCTGTTGTTTAACAGGAGAAGACTAGAGACTGGGTAACGAACTTTTATTAAGGAAAATCACATCATATTTTCTACATTCTAAGCCACATTAAAGTTCGGCTAGATCGCAGGAGAGTAGATTGTTCTGATTGGTTGGCAACTGTCCCAAAGTTAAACAAGCTGTCCAATGAAATTATTTCATGTTCACAAAGTAAACTAAATCCAGATTTGAGGAATAAACACTTCAAGCTCTGCAGCCATTGACTTCCTATCAACTTGCATCAAGCAACAACAGGATATTCATAAGAGTTGTTTATCGTTCTACAAGGTTTTTATTCTATTTATCACTGATTTGAAATCGGTTTGAAACAGCTGAGGTATATCTAGATTTAGTGGTTGACAACGCTTTCAAATGAACTGATGTGACACCATCTTAGCTACTCAAGTACTGACTAAAAAATCTACCACCAATTTAAAGACTAATTATATAATGAAAGTTTCACAAGTTTTCTTTTATCTAAAATAATCTAGAAAGAAGATGAAAGTCTGTATTAGTTCCTGTTACAGAAAGATAAAAAGTCGCTTGAACAACTGAATTCAAACGTATATGCTTCAGTCAAAATCTTGCACAGTTGAATAAATCATAAGTGTTGCATTGTCTCCGAAAAATTCACATTTTTCAACCTTAGTGAAAAGTGGTTATTAGGAGGACAATCCCAGTTAATTACTAGCGCATTTCCCAAAATCACATCAACTCAGGCTACACAGCTCTACCAGAGTCTTTTTTTAAATCGTCTATAAGGTAAAGTCTCAGGGTACAAGAGGTGTTATGTTTCACTACGTGTGTATGGCTGAGGCACTAGGTCATGATGAAATCCTGTAACCAATCAATCGAATCCCTACAAATGAATACTTGAATATAAATGAGAAGCTCATTAGTGACTGGCTCTATTCAGTTAGGTAGTTACCTGTGTTCTAGTGGGAAGTCGTGAACAGTAGGGTACGGCAGGTTGGACGTGATGACAAATACTCGCCAAAGACATTGGCTGGTGGTCGCGCCATGTCGTGAATTGGCAGAAGTTGTATTTCATGGGGTGGCCATTGGATCGTGTCCCAGTGGTTTAATGGTCATCGAACTAGCTCGCTTTGTAGCCAGAAGGTCTTGGGTTCGAATCCCAGTGGACGTGTACTGCCAGATAGTCCCAAATTAGGGTGGCGAGACAGAGATCCAGTACTTCAGTGGTTCTCTAGTCGATGTCAGCTCATGATCAAATCCTGAAACCAAGCAAACCAATACTTGAAGCGCCAACATTTCGTCAATGTAACCCCATACTCTTTGTGCAGAAAAGATCTATATAGTTTCATTCTACCACTGTCTTAAACTTCTTTCTACTTGTTTGCTTTATTTTTAGTAAGTTATTCATTATTATCACTCTTACACATTCATCTTGTTTATTTTGCCAGTTTTTCTTCCACATTCTTCAAATTTATCAAGTGAACACCCAACCATCTTGTTTCTCACCTAATAACATTTTTCACCTTATCAAATTTCAAACCCATACTTTCATTATATCGGTAATCATCACGTAATTTTGAGAACCATTACTGAGTAACTGTATCACTTATGTTGCTTCCTCCCTTTCACTGAGTCATATATTGCTATACTCTTTTAAAAAAATAAATATGAATACAATTGTACAGCCTTTTATAATGACTTCGTCAGTAGAGCAAATTTATCTCGCTGAATTATCCTCCATTTTCTTCAGAAGTATGATTTGTCGGTGGAAGAGTGGATGGATTAAAAACTATTTTTAAACATACAAAAGAAAACTATTCATGTATTTATTATAATTTTTTTATTCTTAAAATTATTATTCAACTTGAGCATTTATTTCACAGGGATGTATACACAAGATATTTTATTGTAAAACTTCATCACCATTTGACCACTCTTCATGCACGTAATTGTAATCTAGCCTTATCCAATATATCTTTCTGTATTTTTGGGTAATTTGGATACATTGATAAAACCTGTTTTATAATGAAAGTGAAATTCAAATAAAAATTGTTTTGTAATATCCAAAAAAGCTCTTGAAAAATAATTGAAAAATATAAGCTTATCATTTAGTTAGTGACAAAGATATATGTCTCTGGCGTAGACAGGATATCCGACTATCGACCAAAGGGCGTGTGTACTGCTCATCAGTCCTCTCCGTCCTCCTTTATGGCTGTGAGACCTGGCCATTGAGAGTGGAAGACATGAAAAGATTAGCTGTCTTTGATCATAGGTGCCTGCGTTCTATCTCCCGTGTGAAGTGGTATAATAAGGTGAGCAATATTGAGGTTAGGCGTCGTGTGCTAGGTAAGGAGGGGAAATCAGTCGACGAGACTGTGAAATTACATCGACTGAGATGGTTAGGACATGTGTTACGTATGCATGCCTAGTCATCACCTTCCTCGACAATGGACAATGTTAGCTGACATAGGGTCAGGCTGGAAAAGGGCTAGCGGCGGTCAAATCAAAACATGGCACCGGTCAATGAAATCTACAACAGTTAGTCTAAGCCACAATTGGTGACATGGCTCAAAATCGTTCTCAATGGCGCAGATGCATCCACTCCTTGTGACTTATGATTTCCAATTAAACTGTTTTGTTCTTCATTATTACTATTCCTTTGTCTCACACCTCTGTTTACTGTCTCTAATATGCATTTCTCCTACTTTCTTCTCTTGCTTTGTGTGCTACATGGAGGGAGTGTGGCGACTTGAACTGCCGCACATTGGTGCAGAGTTCTATGTCGAAAACCGACCGACTGACCGATGTCAGTGGTTCAGGGGTAGAATACCCGCCGCCCATGCAAATTGTATGGGGTTCGTCCCCATAATGACGCACTCCTTAACCTCGCTTAGCCAGTAGTAAACCCGGTAAAGAGGGAAGTTAGGGTGTAAAGTTAGCAACCTCACCCCGTAACAAAATAAACACCACTCTTACTGAAAGCTCAGACCTCAAACCTGAAGACCTATGTTCCACTGGGAAAGTAAAAAAATAAAGAGACAAAAAATATCATAGGTAATATCGCCCACCGAAACTTATAACAGTTGATGACGGGAAGGCTGAGTAGATCCGTCTAAAATCTGACATTCAATCAGCTATCATTTGTTTTAGTGAAGTGGTAAATTCGACAAATAATTTAGAATCTGGTGTTGAATATCAATACTTGAATATCAATGAGATGCTCACTGGCGACTGACTGGCCCTATTCAGGTAGGTAGTTACCTGGGGTTCCAGTGGGAAGTCGTGACCAGTAGGATGCAGCAGGACGTGTGTGAGGACAAATACTCACCGAAGATACTGGCTAGCGGTTGCGCTATATCGTGAATTGGCAGAAGTTAGAATTCATGCACTGGCCATTGGATCGGGTCCCAGTGGCTTAATGGTATACGAGCTCGCCTTGTAACCAGAAGGTCCTGGGTTCGAACCCCGTTGGGTGCGTACTGATGAAGAATCCTAAACTAAGACGAAACAGCTGTCCAGTACTCCCAGGGTTTCCAATGGTTCTCTAACCAATGTCAGCTCATGATGAAATCCTGTAACCAATTTAGAATATATATTGATCTTGAATGACACAAAATATCATTGGGAACTTCAACTTTTTTAGCGTATAAACATTTATAAACACTCTGATGTGACTATCTGCAGTTAAGTTCGTCTACACTGCACTGTAACTTTGAAGAAAGGTACCATAGAGCTAAAAAGTTAATCATTTATGATAGTATTCAGAAATAAGTACTATTATGGATGAACCTTAACGGTATGATAGTTCTATTTTCAGAAGAGTTAGTATCTAAGTGTACTTATAATGGGAAATTTCTCCCCTTGCACTGAGTTGTTGAAACAGAATTTTCACATCAAAATCTTGTTGTCTACAAAGACGAAACATACATATAATACACAAATTCAGAGGAAAAGTGTTAATTGACGGTAAGGTTTAGGTTAGGTGTTATAGTATGTAGGTTATCGCACTAGTAGGATAGTTCAAACTAAAAAGGGTGTTGTTTTTCATTGACTTAAGTTATAACCGAAAATAAAATAAGCTGTAATTTTAAATTGCTTCTATTTAACAGTGAATACTTAGAGATTCACCTTAATGACTAACTGAAACAGACATGTGAAGTTTATCCGATCTTTGAGTTTCCGGATAGTTCTGTTGCCACTTGCTAACTTCACTGTTTCTTGAAAAATGTTGAATACTAAAATCTTCATTGTATATATGCGAGTTTCGATATGAATATAGTGATAGATTATCGGTATGCATGACTTTGTCATTTGGTTCTGTGAAACCACAATTTGGGAACCACTGAAATCCAAGGTGCACTAAACGGTGGTTTACTTGTAGTTTGACAACAACTTTTAACAATGTGTAGGGTGGAGAGTTTAAAGCACTTTATTAGCTCTTCAAACAGTTGAGTTTTGAGTGAATTTGGATTTGTACTAATATTTTTAAATAGATTGGAAATATACGTTACACAACCACTCTTAATTCTACTAAAACCTTCTGATTATAAAGTGAACATTTTATCACATATTGCTTGAGTGATGGAATTCAACTGCTGATAAATTCTAGCCTCCGTTAGTCGGTTATCTGTAAATTTGCAAATTCACTGAGAAGAAAGCGATTGTGCTTCAAAATACACTGAAATACAGTCAGTTAGACTCTGCTCATCAACTTACAAGTCTCTTTTGCATTTACAAAAGTTCCAAAATTCACAGTGACATAAGTATGCTTTTAGTTATTAGAAGGAATTTATTTTTCTCACAGAGTACGCAAGGAATAAACAGTTGTCTCCTTATTAGAGAAGAGAAAGCAATTGAAAAATGAGGAAAATTATTCAACAATCTATATTAGTTCATATTAACTGTGATCAAGATTTTACCGAAACAGTTCCGAAATAATTAGGCGCCAAGTGAGAAGAAGACGTGTGTAAAAATTATATTTGTAAAATCTCAAATAAATTGAAGTGAGTAATTTCAATGTTTCGTTCGGCAAACTGGTCCGAACTCTTTCAGGGAAATTAAAAATATAAAAAAGAATACCTCTTGTCATCAAAATACAATAAACAAAATTGCATACATATTCATTCAAACATCTATAAAACACAAAATAATCGAGCCACTTCTTTTTATTGTGCCATCCTCTTTTCTGGTCATAAGGACGTCTAAAAATGAAATACTAGAGTCTTTTTCTTTCTCAATAGTAAAATTTATTGCAGGATGAACCTCATTAAATTTATCCAGGATGCTCTTTGCTTCCCTCTTATTTTTCATAATCAAAAATGTATCATCCATGTACTGACAATAGAATTCGAGTTCATTAATAACATCCTTCAAAGGCCCATTTTCTAGTTTCGCAAGGAAAATGTCGGCTAGAATGGGTCCTAGTGGTTACCCCATTGCCACACTGTCGATTTGTTCATATAGTTCCTTATTAAATAAAAAGTGGGCATTCATTGTATATTTCAAGAGAAGCTCATTCATAAAAGATATAGGAATGCCAACATCGATGTCTCGTCTTTTGAGTTCCTCGCATACCAAGTCCACTGTTTCCATATGTGGTATATTGGTGAATAAGGAAGATACGTCAAATAATATCATCAATTTATTGCGAACATTTAAATCTTTTATCCTTTCAACAAATCTAAAAGAATCCCTTACACTGGGTTTCACTAACTCGGTATGAAGGGGCTGTAAGAGTTCGACTAACTATTTAGCTACACTTTTTATTTAATAAGGAACTATATGGACAAATCGACAGTGTGGCGATGGGGTAACCACTAGGACCCATTCTAGCCGACATTTTCCTTGCGAAACTAGAAAATGGGCCTTTGAAGGATGTTATTAATGAACTCGAATTCTATTGTCAGTACATGGATGATACATTTTTGATTATGAAAAATAAGAGGGAAGCAAAGAGCATCCTGGATAAATTTAATGAGGTTCATCCTGTAATAAATTTTACTATTGAGAAAGAAAAAGACTCTAGTATTTCATTTTTAGACGTCCTTATGACCAGAAAAGAGGATGGCACAGTAAAAATTGCAGAGACTATGATCAAAATTTGACTTCAGACATACAAATATTGGTCTACTTTTGTTCAACACCTTAAACAGAGTGTAGTTTTTCATCAGAATTTAATGATTATGTTCGACTTAAGTTCATGGTAGTAGATAACTGACTATGGATATGAGGTGTGCAATGGCAGGTCGAACGTAATCACTGAAATTCTGATGAAAAAGTACACACTATTTACAGAGCTCAACAAAAAGTAGACTAATGTTTGTAAGTCTGAGGTGAAATTTTGATCACATTTCATCCAATTTTGTTTATTATATTTTGATACATGTTTCAGGACTCATATAGGTGGACAAAACTTTTAAAAGGAAGAGATGTCATATATATATGTACCTTTTTTGAGTCTGACCATTGATTAATATCAATTAGATAACCATTGAAAACCAGGCAGTACTGGAAACAGGTCCCAGCTGCTAAATGGCATACGAGCTAACCTTGTAACCGAAACGCCCTGGGTTCGAAACCCAGTGGTTGCATACTACCGATGAGTCCCAGACTAGGATGAAACAGCTGACCAGTACTCCTTGATTTTCAACATTTCTCTAACTGATATCAGGCCGTGGTATAACTAACTCAAAAAACAAGTTAAATCCTTACAAATCAACACTTGAAAATATAAACCTTCATTTTTTTAATTTCGATTAATTTCCCTGAAGAAGTTCGGACTAGTTTGCCAAACGAAACATTGGAATTATTCATTTCATTTTCTCTGAGATTTTATAAATATAATTTATACATAAATTTATATAAGGCTTAAAAATTGATTAGCATACCTGTAGGGAAACTTCAACTGCTTCAAAAAATCGTCTAATTTTTAAATAATTGTACGCCAACTTGTAACCTATAAAAATAACAGAGAAGTTAAGAATAAGTTAAAGAAATCTACACTAGCTAACTGTTAAGTGCAAATAGTGTTTTGTAGCAATGATAATAACAATAAGAAAAAGCGAAAAATCCCCAAGAACAAACTGAAATGAGGTTGACCTATTAAAGAAAACGACAGTAATAATATATATTGAAAGTTTCTGGAATTCTGATTTGACTTTGTTAAGATAACTGTACAAAACTGATATATTCAGTTTGTTTAGCAATACATACCAATGAAATTGAAAAGAATACTTTGTATCACTTTCCTTACCTGAACTTACATCAATTAAGGTAACACTGACAACCAGGTTTATTGCATAGCTGTTTTATTCCAGTTCTAGACCTTTCAGCAGTACCACCCATAAGCCCACTATACGTTGAACCATAAGTCAGGCTAGTTACCTCTTATCGTATCTGTCACCTCAACTAATCCTGTGGAGCCAGTTGTATTGGTTGTTCCTCTAGGAACCTAATTTTTCGTGCCTGAAAACACCTACCAATGGGGCCAAATAAAGGTGTTGTTAAAGCCATCAACACTTCCGCATTTGATCATCTCGTCCCCAAGGTCACAAAGCTAGCATTGAAGATTCTTTCTGCATCATCTATCGAATATTGAATAAATTAGTAAAGGTCTCTTGATACCGAACACTACAAACAACAGAGGCCATTGCGATTCGCTTAAAAACAACAGAAGCTCTGCGTGCGAAAGGAACAGCTTTGACCCCACTATTGCTACAATGGCCCGCTGTCTGACAAATGAGTTCTGAATCACTTTCCTTAATTTATCTGATGTTCAGTTTAGTGTTATACTAATGTATTTGAAATGAAATCAGTTTGTATGATTGATTCAGTTTAATTTAAAATATTAATGTTGTTCATAATAACGAATTATCATGGTCGTATAGCTGTAAAGCTTGATGAAGAATTTATCGCAAAGAATGATTTTTGCTCGCTAAACAAATTAGTCTTTCCTATTGTTTCACTGTTTCAGATGCCTAGAATAGAAGCTTTCACGAAAAAGCGAGGGTGTAGCTATGCAGACAGTAAACAAAATGTCTTCTTGGAATTAAAATTTAAATGGCAAAAAGGTTAATGCATTAGTTAACAAACATTAGTGGGTTGAAGTAACAGTCACTTTCTGTTCATATTACAAGTGATTTTTAAGGATTAAATTAATGCAAACCTCACCGCATAGAGTTTTCGCTAGACTAAAAATAAGAGTTATTTTAAAGGCAGAAGACAAGAGACACAACAATGGAATGTTCATTGGACTGAGTATTGGACTGAGTATTTTCTCCGATCTTTCCTGATCCTCTCACATCTTGCTAGTGACTAGAAAGATGTTTCGCTTAACGTTCTACCTTAGGAAGTTTAGGCAGTCTGGTATAAAGCAGTCTTTACTTTTTCAGTTTGTCAATTCCTGTATTCTACCCATCCCTCTTTACTGCTCCCCATTAATCTTTCCAGGACTACTTAAGAAAGACTTTGCTTCGCTGCGTAGGGCACTAAAAGCTGTTAGTAGGGTAAGTGGGATATTGTTAAACCAACTGGTTAACACCATAGTGGATAGACATATAATGTCATGTAAGAAACTAGCGAATACTATATTGTCAGACCCTGAGCATCCTCTCTATACACAGCTCTCTCCTTGCATATCATCTGGTAGAACTAGAAGTAACTATAGGAAGCTATATGCCAGGACTACCAAGTATAAAAACTCCACAATACCTTATCTGGCACAGCTGTTATGTGATGAGAAAACTGTTAGGCATGACATGATCAATTTACTGCGGCACTCTAACAAATAGTTCCCATTAGCTTTTGTTCTCCTTTCTTTGTTACTATTATATTGCTGCTCATATATTCTATTACAGACTAATTTTATATATCGTATCCTGTGGTGCACTGTTTAAATATGTGAATGTAATGCTGTTCTTTTTTATTTTATTTCTTTTATTTCTCTTTTTCTTTTTGTTGTTGTTGCTTTATATTTCTAAATCCTTATAAAATTTATGAGGTAATTAGATGCAATATTGTAATGAACGCTGAAAATTCCATACCTGTACCACAAATACTGTTTGGAATAAAGCCATTATTATTATTATTATTATTATTAGGAATTCGACGTCTCTATAAATTGAAACTATGAACATCTTATCTTCAAACCGTCACTTGTTCAGATCCTTCGGGTTGTGCTATTTCTGCCCTTCGTATAGTATTTCTCTGTCTTCTTTTCATATGTTCCGTGTTCTCCGCATTATTGGTTCATATACTCTCCTTGAACCTCCAATCTACCTATCAGCTGTTTGATATTTGTGTGTGTGCCGATGAACTTCTCTTTATATACTACTGATAAGTCTTATCAGTCGCACAAGCCACATTATGACTGAGTTTAATTTGTTTTGACCAGTTGATCAAAGATTGATATCAGTCAGAGAACCAATGAAAACCAGCACTGGAGTACTGGACAGCTGTTTCATCCTACTTTGGAAATCATCGGTAGTACGCACCCACCGCTAGGGTTCGTACCCAGGACCTTCGTGTTACAAGGTAAGCTCGTATACCATTCAGCCACTGGGACCCAATTCAATGGCCAACCCATGAATTCTAACTTCTACCGATGATTCCAAAACGAAAAAGAAACAGCTGTCCAGTACTCCCCGGCTTTCAATGGTTCTCTAACTGACATCAATCAGTGATCAACTAGTAAAAACAAATCTAATCCTTACAAACTAACTATTGAGCTTAATTTGAAAAAAGTTGCTTAACTATTTCAGAAAGTAAACTCATGATCAGCTAGTTAATAATTCATAGTTTCAAGTTCGATCACAAGTTGACATCAGTTAGAGAACCACTTTGAAAGCCAAAGATAACTGAACAGCTGTCTCGCCTCATTTTGTGACTCTTCATCAGTATGCAACCATCGGATTTCGAACCTAGGGCTTTCAGGTTGCAAGGCAAGCCCGTGTACCATTCCCTGTGTGAAATGGAATCTAAAGGCCCATGAATTCCAATTCCTATCACTTTTTGGTTTTAGCACTACCTCCAGTTAATGTCATTGGTGAGTATTTGTCCTCACGCCCAATATTGTGGATCCTGTTGGTCTCCAATTCAGTCGGTTAGAGCTTCGTGTTAATAACGCGAATGTCACAGTGGGGTCCATCAGGTCTGACGTAACACTGGCTGGCTGTCGCGCTAGACCCTGGTTTTCCAATGATTCTTTATCCGATGTCACTTCGTGATCGAACTTGAAACATATCGAATCCCTACAAACTGGCTCTTAAAAAGTTCACTATCTTTAGACTTCAAATCCTTTTTATTTTACCTACAGCTGACATACAAGTCACCACAGTTTTTGGAGTAATTGTTCACTTCTAGTTAATTGTTTCTTAAGTTAACTTGGATTTCTAAAGTTTTTCGATCAGTTAAGTAAACAGTAGCAGTCTGCAGCTCAAAATAATGTAAGGGTTGGCTTATATACTTGATGCAAAAGTAAGATACTGTATTTACCGAAATATCATATAAGAAATAAATAGGCTAATAGAGTCAAAATATACATTTAATATGCTGCAAATTAACGAGGAATACTGTAACGGAATAATTGTTTGAAAAGTCTCCTCTGAACGATTTATTTACGGTATTGCTACTTATTTAGACAATCCAGCGGACTTTTCAATTGTGATACTTTTTCCTCCGAGGCTGTATACCACTGTTCTGACATTTGCATATCATCTGATGACTTAATCCTTATTATTTATCTTTGTTCCTGTTAAATCTCTAGCTTTAATGCTTCTCTTTGTAGTTTTCGTGATGATTTTGTTAGTGTGTTGTTTTACGACTTAGGTTTTGTTTAAGTGAATGAAGTTTATTCTGACCTTGGACTATCTGTGACAATTGACTGGTGCGTGATTTTTGCCGATGAAGTTTTTATCCCCTCCCCCGCCTGTTAAGGATATTCTCCTTCATTCTCAGGTACTTCATACGGTTGATTTCGGTTCAGTAATTCTGTTGTTAAATGCCTCTCTTCTGCTCCAGACTAATTTGATCTGATTATTGCTACCTTATTGCATTCTTGAGGTAATTTGAATTTCTGATATGCTATTACCGTTAAATAGTACCTCAGATTTTATCGCAAATAAATGTCTTTTCGCTGTCGTTGGGGGTATTTTGTGGCTGTGAATAACTCATGGAAGTTATTGACTAGTTATATAATAAATCGCTCAGATTAGTAACCCTCATTCAGATCACAACACTTAGGTTTTGATCGCTACAAATACAATGCAAATTTCTCTGTAGTATTATGTACTCTTCAACATAAACTAAAATACCTGAATAGTTAAATATCACACTGTAAGTAAATTATACGTGTATGACATTTTTCCCCCGCAAATAAAAAACGACAAGAACTACCCTGACACGTGACATCGATGAAAGAAGGAAAGAAAGAAAAGTGATTACGTAATAAGCCTTTATAACAAAAAGAAATGGAAGTAAAAAGACCATAAGGAACATTAAACCAAAAACAGGTTAAGGTCTAGATCTGTAACAGTCATATAGGATAAATGTCACTTGGCAAAAAGGTGACTGTGTCGAAAGCCTAGCACAGACTAGTAAAACTAAAAGTCAGTGATGATGATTAGCAAAAGTTTGTAAACAGTATTTAATTAGTAGCGACTTTTTTCTGTTGTTGTCTTGTTTCAACAGACAGGATGTAGGATTCACCTACATGTAGCATTTTCTTTTGGCAATATCATTTGGTCACTTGTAAAAAGATTATTGAGAAATTGGAATTTATGCGTTTGTGCAATACATTTCAAAAACAATATTTGATCACATTTTGCTTGTCAAATCATCTTATGTGAAAAGTGAAAAGAAGGGAGAATGAGTGAGACAAGAGGAAATATAAAAAAAATGAAAGGATGATATGAAAAAGACAGGTTTTAATACCATTGTGACTTGTGCTACTGATAAGAT